CCATCAGCAGACGATATTTGTCATCTTCCTAAAAACAAGGAAATTGCAAAAGGTTCGGGTTATATAATAGTCGATCCAGTGACAGCAGCAACAGACACTCGAAGAAACACCACAAACAAGTCTGAAACATGACAGTTGACAGAGCATGGTACAAAACAAACACACTAGACTTTCAAAGATAACCTCGACATGATGGACTGTGGATTTTATGCCATGCAGACCGGTCTATCTCCACAGATTGGCTGGCTAGACGCGTACTAAGAGCGACGTACAAATAACGAACTCCGTAGCTCCAGCGATTATCTGCAGGGATTTCTGAGTGTCGTGATGGTCAAGCCGTTTGCCTTGAGCTCTAAAGGTCATGGGTTTGTAACAAGGATGCGACGGTGAGTTCATGAGTTAAGTTTCCCGGAGATCCCTGGGGACCGTGTCGAACTACGGTAATCGATTTTTTCGATTTTAACTAGTCTGCCAAAAAAACTGCTAGCACAGCAATCGCACAGCAGTGAAATGTATCCACATTGATATTGGCAGTGTCTGAATACATTAGGTAGTAATGTGTTGCATGGAGTTTTTAAAATAACAACCTGTAGCTTCATTTTGATACTGAATTCATTCAGACATGGAAAGATACATACAAGACATGCCCAGTCTCGTGTTTTTACAAGAGCTAGAGACAAAACGTCATTGGTTTTGGGTTCCACTACATTTACCTCATACCGTTTTTATTGACACTTCTAGTAATATAAACAGCTAATATGGGAGAGGCAGTAAGTGGTGCTGAGACAGTATGTGGTAGTTATTGTCTCAGTATATGGTAGTGGTTATGTCAGTATGGGGTAGTGTTTGTGTCAGTATGTGGTAGGTGCGTCAGAATTTGGTAGTTGTGTCAGTATGTGGTAGTAGTTGTGTCAGTATGTGGTAGTAGTTGTGTTAGTATGTGGAAGTTGTATCAGTATGTGGTAGTTGTGTCAGTATGTGGTTGTTGTTTAGTATGTGGCAGGTGTGTCAGTATGTGGTAGTTGTGTTAGTATGTTGCAGGTGTGTCAGTATGTGGTAGTTGTGTCAGTATGTGGTGGTTGTGTTAGTATGTTGCAGGTGTGTCAGTATGTGGTAGTTGTGTCAGTATGTTGCAGGTGTGTCAGTATGTGGTAGTTGTGTCAGTATGTGGTAGTTGTGTCAGTATGTGGTAGTTGTGTTTAGTATGTGGCAGGTGTGTCAGTATGTGGTAGTTGTGTCAGTATGTGGTAGTAGTTGTGTCAGTATGTTGCAGGTGTGTCAGTATGTGGTAGTTGTGTCAGTATGTGGTAATTGTGTTAGTATGTGGCAGGTGTGTCAGTATGTGGTAGTTGTGTCAGTATGTTGCAGGTGTGTCAGTATGTGGTAGTTGTGTCAGTATGTTGCAGGTGTGTCAGTATGTTGCAGGTGTGTCAGTATGTTGCAGGTGTGTCAGTATGTTGCAGGTGTGTCAGTATGTTGCAGGTGTGTCAGTATGTGGTAGTTGTGTCAGTGTGTGGTAGTTGTGTCAGTATGTATGTGGTAGTTGTAGATCAATGCTTGCTACAGAAATGACACTTGCACAGAAAGCTAAAGACACACGCCTGACTGACTGGAACTGGTCTTCTTCGTCTTCTGTCTCTTCCTTCTCCTCCTCTTGTTGTTGTTGTTGTTATTATTATTGTAACATTTGCCGTGATGCTGTGTATTTAAACATGTAAGAGTTAATCACCTGTTGCCGTGTTCCATACAGGTAGACATTTATTAAGTACATCACGCTAAATATCCCCATACAGATGAATAAAGAATCCTCTTCCCACAACTTCATGCATTGTGGGTATATAGGGCTAGAACTATACTTTATAAACCAAACGACACCTGGCAGGTGCCGTAATCAACATTACACCGGCCGCCTTTACTTCCCAGGACTGTATCAGGTACCCATTTAAGGCTGGGTCGACCTGGGAACTAAAAATTTTTTTAAAATGTCCAGCTCTATCAGGATCTGAATCCACGACCTTCCGATCTGTAGGCGAGCGTCTAACCGCTACAGGACGGCTGCCCCCATACAGATTATCAGAAAGCTGATAAATGTTAATCTCAAATGAAATTGACCGACTTTACTTCCTATAACATTTTCAAAAGCCTTGTCATGAGCTCGATGAAGACGTATGCCACCGAAGAGATAAAGCACAGACGTGGGAAAACGTGGTAGCTTACGGTGCTTTCCGTCTGTCCCAGCATGGCCCTAACCCAGGTCAAGGCCGCAGGCGAGTTGGCTCTGATGACGTCAACACGACCTTGTCGGAAACGTCTGACAGATGCACTCTCGTAAGTTGAGGTCAGGGTTCCATGGATTCTGTGAAAACATCAAATATTCATGTTTCTTGTTATTCTCCAGTCATATCAGTTGTATCTCTTCTTATTCTTAAATCATATCACTTTTTATCTGCAAATCACGCATTCCATTCCTTTGTTTAATATTTCTTCTTCTTCTTCTTCTTCTTCTTCTTCTTCTTCTTCTTCTTCTTCTTCTTCTTCTTCTTCTTCTTCTTCTTCTTCTTCTTCTTCTTCTTCTTCTACTACTACTCCTTCTCCTCCTCCTTCTTCTTCTTCTTCTTCTTTTTTCTGCTCTTATCGTTAAAATGGCGATTACACGTATTTTATGGCTTAAATCTAGGCCAGAGGTTCTCAACCTGTGGGTCGCGACCCCTGTTTTGGGTCGAACGACCCTTTTGAAGGGGTCGCCTAAGACCATCGGAAAATTTGTAATAAATAGCACACAGTGATAATAAATAGTTTCAAAATACATTTTTATTTGGCAATGTAAGGTGTAAGCGGCAATTACATGCAGGCCTCATCACTGAGGCTCGTGGATGATTTTGCTAAGGATGATTAAAACGATGGCCCGACCACAAGATAAGGCAACAAAACAACAACAACGTACTTGTAGTAGGTCAGCTGCAGTGCCAGCTGTATGTAAGCATCAGGACTCATCCCCAGTTGCTTGATAAAGTCGCGGCCGTAAATTGCAAACCTGAACACGGTCAGGTCGAAATCCTCTACCATTCTGAAAGCAAAGCTCAGTTGTCAGACAACGCACTGAAGCAGCTAGAGGTGTAGATTTATGGGCAGGGACGTTACTAAGAGATATTGAAGGCTTCATTGCAGTCATCAACATCCTCATCATTATTATCATAACCATTATCCTCACAAGCATTATCATTATCATTATTATCACCATCATAAGCATCATCATCATTAACATCACTATCATCATCATCATCACCACCATTATCAACATCATCATTAACATCACCATCATCATCATCATTCCCCATTTCACCATCAACATCATCCTTATCATCACATTACCAACATCATCATCATTACCAGCATCATCATCATCATCACCCCCATTATTATCATCGACATAACAAACATCATCATCATCACAATTCCTAACACCACGTGTCGTTGGGTCATCAGTCACTGTTGACTGTCTGAACAGCTTCACCTGCTGTTTGTCAGATGTAATGGATATTGTTTTAGGCCTGTTATTCAGCCAAAGTCTGTATCCAGTTCTTTCTTGGCCCGCCTCTTCTCCTCTTTTCTTCTACAGAGATCTACAGTACCATTTTGGAGAGGCCAGTACATCTTGTCACAACGACACACTTGGCAAAATAAACAAGGAGTGTTGAATTTGTTAAAAGATATTCTTGTATCCGAGTTTATCTCATATTATTAATCGCTCTACACAGAGCGTCTGGTCACCCATGAGAGCTTCCAATTTCCAATTCCAGTTGTCCACCAAAAATTCTAAATTTGATCCTTTTTCAGCCGCCCGGAGGCCTGCTAAGTGAAGGAAGATTACTTGGCTATCTTATTTGGTTTCCTTTTATTTGTGGTGTGTAGTCACACCTGATATTCCGCTTCTTTGCTTCCTGAGTCCGGTGTGGTGCTTTCGGTTTTTGGGTCTGGTATGGTGCAGTTCTCTTAGTGCTGATATCTGTGGTTTTTAGTTGATTGTTGCTGGTGCTTGCTTTACCTCGTGCTGATCGCTGTGCTGGTGTCATATTGCTGCTTGGTTGCCGTTCTGTAAAGCATGAGAGCTTCGCATAGGCTGGCACATAAATACCAGATTACATAAATAATTACGTAGCTCCAGGAACGTCCAACGACGCCTGAAACGACTGAGAATTCATAGTGAGTTACTGAGATTCGCGACCATGTTTTATTTTAAATTGTCTACAACATTTAACCATGCGAAAATGGAAACCTGACCGCTCCCTGTCAGGGCAACAAACGAAGTGTCCACACGCTTTACACCAGAAACAAAAATCGTTGTCAACACACAGGGATCATGTCTGTGACCTTCAGTTCTCAAACACTTTACATTGCCTGGTCTACAGTTCTGTTTAAACTCCAAGGTTAAATTCAGTGATCACGTGTTTGTCCAAGCCGAGATTGTCTCCCTTTGAAAAACAAGATCTTCAGAATCCGAAAACTAAATAGCCTCCCCTTTACTTGACGCCATTTCTCCCAGACACCCTGGCGTTTCCTTTCTTCTAAAAACCGATTCTTGTTTTCCATGCGGGGAGAGTTCAAAGGAAACCAAAGTTTGCAGAAAATATGGAGATCTGTTTAGGTCACTTCTCATTTGTGTTCATAATATGTAAGGTACACCATTTTTAGATTTTATCTACGTTACATTGAAATTTTCCTTTAAAACCAACTAGCACCTCTGCCGGGGTAGCTTTGTGTCTAAAATGTTCAGTAGTAATATGTCTATATGATCTCTGTGCTTACGATACCCAGTTCGCACACATAAACAAGTACAATTTAAAAAAAAAAAAGAAGTTGAAGAAGAAGAAGAAGAGGAGGAAGAAAAAGAAGAAGAAGAAGATCCAAAAACGTTTTCACTAAGCTGTACCTATCAGTTCTACACGCCCCAGAGACACAAATCTACGATGATATTTACTCACCTGTCCACGTCATCTTTTGCTGTCCTGATGTCTGCAAGAGATTGAGATGAGAGATTCCATCGTAGATATGCTGGGTATGGAAGACTTCCGGGTTCATGGGTCATGCCAGTGTCCTTGTCCTTGCCCCTGCGCGCAAGTAAACAAATTAGGTCATCATGTGGAAGTTCTAGGAGGAAAACCCTAGGCCCCAGATAAGAAGGTAGTCAAACAATAGTTTCTTGCATTGTGTTGACAGGAAAATTTTTAATTCATTAGTTTGCAACTGCTCACTCAACGGTAGATCATAGCAACACTGTCAGCGTAAGGGCACAATCAACCTGCTACCAAATGGTCCGCATCTGGTGTGTAGGATGTGAATCATAGACCCCTGCTCCTAGCCGGGGTGGGGCTTTGGAATTAAAAACAAACAAACAACAACCACACCCAAAAAAAAAAAAAAACTGCCTCCCAAACTGGGACGGGGGCTATCAATAAACTAAGCTATTCTCGTGGCTTACGTGCAGTTGTATACCAACGCTCCCTACAGAGATCACATACAAATTAAACCATGCATTCTATGTTTAATTATGATTCCAAACACAGATGTTAAAACTTCACTATGTTGTGTGTGTGTGTCATTTTGGGACTTGTCGTTCATGATTTGTTTGTAGACATCTGTACAGATAATTCAAAAAGTGTTCACGATTTGTTTGTAGACTTCTGTACAGATAATTGAAAGAGTATTCACGATTTGTTTGTAGACTTCTCTACAGATAATTGAAAGAGTGTTCACGATTTATTTGTAGACTTATGTACAGATAACTGAAAGAATGTTCATGATTTGTTTGTAGACTTCTGTACAGATAACTGAAAGAGTGTTCACGATTTGTTTGTAGACTTCTGTGCAGATAACTGAAAGAGTGTTCACGATTTGCTTGTAGACTTCTGTACAGATAACTGAAAGAGTGTTCACGATTTGCTTGTAGACTTCTGTGCAGATAACTGAAAGAGTGTTCACGATTTGCTTGTAGACTTCTGTGCAGATAACTGAAAGACTTTTTATGATTTGTTTGTAGACTTCTGTACAGATAACTGAAAGACTTTTTATGATTTGTTTGTAGACTTCTGTACAGATAACTGAAAGAGTCTTTATGATTTGTTGGTAGACTTCTGTACAGATAACTTCTTCTTCGCGTTCGTCAGCTGTAAACTCCGGTGAAAAGTTCTGGTTGTTCGTCCACTTCTGGACTGCAGTTATGTTCCAGAACCTGAGTGTTGCATGTGCATCCGTTTTACAGATCTGACTTTTGTTTAATGCAGACTGCTGGTTACTTACCTCTCAGGCAGATGCATTCTGACTTCGAAAGAAGCTCCTAATTAGTCGGCTCTTACGATATGCTTTTGGGTCTATTCTTGTTTTCCCTATAATAGGGCCCTGGAACCCACACGACGATGTAAAGATAACTGAAAGAGTGGTTCATGATTTCTCGGTCAATGGTGACGCAAAAGGTAGGTACCATCACTCACATGTTGCCCAGTGCGTACTCGATCATGTGACCCAGAGCGATGCCCTCAGCCACCGAGTGTTCCATGTTGAGGCCGAACGTCCCATCTTCTGAGATGATTACCTGTGGAAGCAGACCAGTGCAGAGGTCAACTTTGATGTTGACGGGTATACAACAGACGGGACAGACAGGAAACACGAAAAAAAAAAAAAAACTTTGTTTAAAGGGTCATTCATTATTTATGCATGCGACTGTTAGTCTTACATTCAACCGTTCAACCAATCATCTTTCACACAAAAAGTACATTTGACCTATAAAGCATGTTTAGATATTTAGCAATACATAAATTATTCCTTACGTCCTTCTTAGGACGTTATTTTTTGTTATTTGAAGCCCCACTCTGGCTTTTGCCAGGGGCCGCAATATAGGCAGGTCATCATTATGGCCAAATGTCTGAACGCGGTTTCTGGGACCTCTCCACGGTGATCCTCATCCGCATGGTGGCACTTTGTGTCATCGGGTGTTTATCGCTTGTGTGATGTCCTGGTGGGGTAAAAAGCCAATCCAATTTAGCAATATTCTTTCTTTCATTGTCTTGTTGTGCCTCTGTATGTCACATAGAGATCGCAGTCTATTCCTTCATACGGTTGTGTCCTGTGAAATCAGTTCAATATTATAGATGAAATCCAGTTCAGTACCTTTGACATCTCTCATCAACGTTCGTTTTAGGGTTTCGTTTGGACGCTCTCGGTTTCTCAACCTCTTTATTTGCCATTGTAGTGGCTGTCTGCGAATTCTATGTTCGTTTCTCCTCAGTCTGTGTCCAATGTAGCATCATCTTCCTTGTCTTACAACTGTTGCTCCTGGCAGTTGCTTTTAACTTTAAGCAGCTTGAATTCATCGCAGTTGACATTTAACACATGAATAAAAGGCGCGGCGTCCGTGGCTTAGGCGTTGCGAGTTTGACTCGTAATTCCAACATACCGTGATCGAAGCTCACTGCTGGCTGCGTGGACTTTTATCATGGAATAGCGTATCGCATTTCGGCCCAGCCTAAAATTGGTACTAGGATGTATGTCCTGGGGAAGTAAAGACGGCCTGCGTAATGCTGACCACATAATCCACCTAGTGCCGATTGGTCTGTAAAAATACTGGTGCTCTTCCTAAATGCCCGATGCGCCAAAAGGCGTCAAAATTTATCTTTGTTTCTGCTTGCATGACTATTAGGTATAAACATAAAATCATACATAGACAGAGAAAAAGACAGATAGACAGTAAAGCAGACAGGCAAACAGATAAATAAGTTTTAGATAAGCCGGAGGACCTGGAAATAACGAGCTCCATCGCCCTCTACCAACAACACTGGAAGTCTCACCTGTATCGTCTTGTCCATCCACCTGTTGCAGGAGTTATTCATGGCACCTTGACCGTGAATGAGGTGGTGCGTTCGGGCGGTCATATCGTTGGTCAGCCCTCCGTGGAAACCCTGGCGTGAAGGGACCGTGGGTTTGTCCAAGCAGAGAAGAAACAGGCAGTTCTCTAGAATGTGCAGATTTGCTCTGTTTGTAGCATCTGTAACAATAAATGACATACGCGGTCAAGAAAGTCCGAACAAATTAACTCTGTACGAAAAGCGAAAGAAGTTTTGATAGTACTAGGAAATTTGTAGAGGTCACAAGAAATTAAAGCTGATGCTAAACTCTAAATATATAACTCTAATGTCAGATCAGTACTGCAGCAAGAGGCGGAAACATGGAGAACAACTAAAACGATGACTAATAAACTATAAACATTCATTAACTTGTGCCCTCTCAGAATAGAGGGAAGATGAAGGTCAAGATGAGACAATCGACTTCACTGCATCGAGTTTTATCCCAAATGTCTTAGTCTCTCTCCGCAAAAGAACTAACTGCCTGTCGAGAGTGTCGTACACAGTAAGACCCCCGTAGCTACGGCGACGATTCCCAGGGAATCTCCGTTTGCATCTATGAGGGAATGACAGAAAATTATATGGTATGATAGAATCACTAAAACTGAGCTTTAGAGAGCTAAACAAACTTCAGCGAATCAAGAGGGGAAAAAACAAGACGCTGGTGTTGGATAGGACACGCATTGAGAAAACACGAGAACAAAGTAACGAGTATCTTCTTTCTTTCTTTCTGTTTTCTCTACTGGAACTCCCCAGAACATTGGAATAAAGGCAGAATATAAAGAAAAAAGAAACACACACACACAATTATAGAATAGAGCTAGAGAGTCGAGTTAAGAACCTACATAGGACATGGTGTGAGCTGTATGCAGTTGCAAAGGATAGAACGACTTGACGTGATTTGGTAGAGGACCTATGCCATTCTGGGAGAAAAAAAGACAAACAAACAAAAGTAGTTCAGATGTGTTCTGTGAAAGTACTGTAGGTCAATGTAGACCGGGTCTTTCTAACATTGACTTGGGATCATTAGTTGAAAAAGCGTGAAATAGGTACAGCAAAGTGTTCCCGAATATAAAACGGGTCGATTTTGTGTTGAAAACATTGGAAATCGAATGCCTCTTTGATCTTTACAAATTAGGAGCTGGCCGGCCAACTTACCAAATCCTCAACGACTGGATAAGAACAATTTTATTACTGGCTTAGATGTGTATGTGTGTGTGTGTGTGTGCGTGAATGAGGCTGCTTTGTTTGGAGTCTCGCTACTGTTATTCATTTCGTCTGTCTATATTAATATTCGTCAATGCAGCCTGTGGCGTCAGTGGCTTAGGCGTTGAGCGCGCTCCGTAATGCCGGGGTGAGGGGTTCGATCCTAGCTATGGACGAGTTGTCTTGCGTTGGTTTCGACAGTGGTACTGACAGCTGACCGTACAGAAGCCATGGCAAACTACTGAACGTAAAATTCGCCTAGAAAAACCTAAAAGCCTATATATATTGGGGTTGGTTCTGCAACCTCCTGTAAAGGATACGCAGCTATTTTTCTAAAGCTGGAGATTAATGATTTTTTCGAATTACAAAGTCTGTCTGCCATTCTGACTGTTTACATGTCTGTTTCTGTGAATATCTGCCTGTACGCTACTTATACATATGTGGTAAAAAACAATTATTGTTTAATTCGTGTGTTGGTCTGTCTGTCGAAATCTTTCGAAGGCTCTGCTCTTTATTTGAAAAAAAAAATTATATATATATATATATATATATATATATATATATATATATATATATATATATATATATATATATATATATATATATATATATAGATTTATATATGTATGTACACTGTAGCTCCTTGGGTATTTCTCTTAGATATATGTATTCTCTCATTCTCATTCTCTCTCTCTCTCTCTCTCTCTCTCTCTCTCTCTCTGTGTGTGTGTATTGTGTGTATTCATTTTGCAGAAGACACAAAGAAGTGAACATTAATGCGTGACCTTGCATCAAGCGTTCTCTGGTGTCCGCCCACACATCACGTGACTGCGACGTCAGTATGCCAACTTCCGGCGCCTTTTCCCTCTCTTCCGCCATGACAAGAACGCGAGAGATTTGTACACTGAGGTCGGCTTCAGAGATGTACTCTCCCGCCTTCTGGACATCGACTTTGTAGAACTGAAACAGGAACAAGTTATAAGATATGGACAAATGACGAGACACTGGTAAGAGACGGGACATGGAAAACCAAACAAACATTGACAACTGAAGAAACATAAACAAATGATGAAACAACGACAAAAATGAAACATGGACAGTAGTTGAGGCGTGGAAAACAGATCACACATAGACAATAAATAAGACAATGAAAACAGGTGAAACGTAGACAGTGGAAAACATTCATTAGCAGTAAAATCTATCCGTATTTTTAATAAGTTATACCCCCAACCCCCTTTTTTAAAATCATCTCCAGTATGTTCCTTTTTTCTTCGTTATCTTTTTTCTCCCTTCCCTTTAGTCCCGCTTTTCTTTCTTCTTTAAAAAATTTTTTTTATCATCATCATCATTATCGTCACTAGAGTCAACATAGTCATCGCCTTTTTATCTTTCTCATCTTCTTAATAGTTTTATCAGACAGTGAATCTCAGATTCTAACACAATTCTCAACAAATCCTCGTGTACTTTCCCTGATGTTTCTGACTAACTCATTTTCTACCCCACCAGGACATCACACAAGCGATAAACACCCGATGACACAATGTGCCACCATGTGGAGGAGGATCACTGTGGAGAGGTCCCAGAAACCGCGTTCAGCCTTTAGGCCATATTTATGACCAGGTTACATTGCGGCTTCTGGCAAGAGCCAGAGTAGGGCTTTAAATAACGAAAAATTGCATCCTAAAAAGGACGAGCTGATGTTCCTTTATGTTTGCGATCACACATCTCCGGTAAGCTTAAACAGAACTTTGAACTAAAGTGAAACATACAAGCCCACACATCTTGTTTCCCCCCCCCCCCCACCCCCCTATAATTATCCGTGGTCTCAAAGAAACAATATACAGTCGTTCAGATTTCTCCTACAACCATGTAAGACAGATCCATCCATACTTCAGAAATACGACAATAGATTGGTTTATTCCATTTATGCATCATGTTGTCTGAAGAATGATACGGTTGCCTCCCTTTGCCACCTAGTTTCTGCGTCTCCATCCACTGGGGGATTTTCTTTCCTGGTCACAGATGTGTCGATTGGACGTAACGTGATCGTTTCCGGGTACCATTTTGTAAAATGGCGACCGGACTTACAGAAATTTGAGTGGAGGGATTAGAAGGTTGAGCGGAAGGCCACTGGTAACCAAATCTCACAAAAGTTAGTGTCAGTGAAGTAATTAGTGATTCAAAAGTCGGTATCGGACAGGAGATGGTCAAGTAATTAGAGGCAGTGTCCGAAGATGTGACCGAGGGGTCAAGTTGTTTGATGCTACAGCGGAGAATAATTCTTATTCTTCTTGTTCCTTTTTACTACTTCCTCTCTCACTATTTCGGGTGTCAAGGGACATAAAAGTGTCTGCTTCTTGGGCTTTTGACCACCTCGACCAGAGACATATCGTGCTGTTGTAAAGTATCTCTGATGTTATCTGTCCATATTATCCTCGGTCTACAGCAAGCTGAGGTCTGCCAGCATGATGGTCTTCGCTTCCGATTTGTACAAGTGTTTATTTAATAACTTATCTGGGGCTCCGAGGTCGAAAACTTGTCCAGAGAACCTATGGACCAGGCGTCAATGTGTGAAATGGTCATTTCCTTTACTTATTTATTCTGGGAAGTAAAGGCATTTACAACTGAATATCACTTAGTCTATATAAATATGGAGTATGCGCCATACAAGTACAGTGCAAGACAATAAGACAACGTCCCTATAATTTTATTTGTACTGTGAATAGAAATTGTGGTGATCTGAGCTCGTGCCTTCCAGTACATTGATCAGAGTTCAACTCTAGTGTCAGCGCTGGCGGTTCAGAAATATAGAGGAGTGGCGTCTGGAGCTATGGAGTCTCGTTGTTTGTGTGCTGCTCTCGGCAAATTACAAGCCACTTTAGAGGATTGGGGGGGGGGGGGGGACACGGATATGGTGAAACCTTGTGCATTGAATTCGTCAATTTTGAAATGCAACGCCCAGTTGAAAGAAAATAACATGCTTTCAAACAACTATCAACCTATGTAACAATACAAGGGCCTTTTTTCTGTTAGTATGCAGTACCAGCACCTTTGCTAGGCCTCATTGACTTTCGGTGCCACTTCTATAATAAACACTTTATAGTGACTACTGACACCTTTTTACTGACACATTACGGTAAGTACCGGCGCCATTCTCAAGAAAAATAAAGACATGACACAATCGACCTGATTATTGTAGGTATAACTAACCCCACCCTTACCCCATTATAACAGATAACACAACCTAGCTGGTTATTGCAGGTATAACTAACCCCAACCTTACCCCATTATAACAGATAACACAACCTACCTGGTTATTGCAGGTATAACTAACCCCACCCTTACCCCATTATAACAGATAACACAACCTACCTGGTTATTGCAGGTATAACTAACCCTACCCTTGCCCCAGTTATATCAGATAACACAACCTACCTGGTTATTACAGGTATAACTAACCCCACCCTTACCCCAGTTATATCAGATAACACAACCTACCTGGTTATTGCAGGTATAACTAACCCCACCCTTGCCCCAGTTATATCAGATAACACAACCGACCTGGTTATTGCAGGTATAACTAACCCCACCCTTGCCCCAGTTATATCAGATAACACAACCGACCTGGTTATTGCAGGTATAACTAACCCCACCCTTGCCCCAGTTAAAACAGAATAACACAACCTACCTGGTTATTGCAGGCAACAACGATGTAATCAGTCCCCAGTGTTCCCAGGTCGGTCCGCTGGATGTCCGATCCTCTGGCCGGTTCCCTGTAGCTGGAGAACAACCTGTAGTGTTGCTCCATGCACAGGGGCTGACCTTTCTCCTTGTGCTTGCACCTCTCCACAGGTAGGGTGCGGCTGTGGGACAAGAGGGAAGGAAACCTCTAGTTTAATCACAACACTCGTATGTTTATTATGGTACACAGCCAGTAAATTCTTCTTCTTCTTCTTCTTCTTCTTCTTCTTCTTCTTCTTCTTCTTCTTCTTCTTCTTCTTCTTTTCCTTCTTCTCCTTCGTCTTCTTCTTCTCCTTCTTCTTCTTCTTCTTCTTCTTCTTCTTCTTCTTCTTCTTCTTCTTCTTCTTCTTCTTCTTCTTCTTCTTTTCCTTCTTCTTCTTCTTCTTCTTCTTCTTCTTCTTCTTCTTCTTCTTCTTCTTCTTCTTCTTCTTCTTCTTCTTCTTCTTCTTCTTCTTCTTTTTCCTTCTTCTTCTTCTTCTTCTTCTTCTTCTTCTTCTTCTTCTTCTTCTTCTTCTTCTTCTTCTTCTTCTTCTTCTTCTTCTTCTTTTCCTTCTTCTTCTTCTTCTCCTTACGTGCACCAGCTGCAAACTCCGTTGAACAGCTCTGGTTGCTCATCCACTTCTGAACTTCAGTCGTTTTGCACTAAGTTTTGCTCGTACATCTGTTTTATAAAGCTAGTTTAGTTGCACGCAGACTGCTAGTCCCTCAGCTCTCAGGCAGATGTACTCTGACTTCGAAGGAAATATCTTCTTAACTTTTACGACATGCTTGTTACGGGGGGCAGTGGGTCTATCCCCCGTCCACCCCCGGTCTCCATGAAGCCCCAAAACGCAAACGGAGATAAAGCCGTTGACATTGTTTTATGAAACACTGTCCAGATACGACAATCCCGATCGCGGAATGGGATTATAGAATCATTAAATTTCTGCTTTACATAAAATTAACAAATAAATCCACGAAATAATTGGCACCCGAATTAAAAGCAGACTAGCACCATTCGAACCCTGGAATGCAAATGAAAACGTCAAATCTATTGTTAATGAACTAACGCATGTTATCATGTCCCAGTCATGCTTCTTTAAGGCAAATTTCTTGCAAAAATTCTCCAGTATTGATGATTTCCTTGCCTGCTTTAATTCAACAACGAGCCATTCTTTTTTTTTTTTTTTCAATAAACAAATAAAACATGGTGGGCGAAAAACTGCCTGGTAACCGCCAGCTGACGCCGTGTCCATGTCAACAGGGGGCGCAACTCAGCCCAAATAAGCTGTCTGATTTCTTTAAATTTGCAATACGATTTGGACGCCCTAACAGAGATTACAGACATAATTCAACAGGGAGGAGGACGGGGTTTTAAGTAACCCGGTTCCTGGGTCAAGGTGGATGCGGAGATTCTTTGCAGACGTGCGCCAGACTTCGCCAAACGACGTGGGGTAAACAAGAGATTACGGTAATCACGTGCATGCGCACCTAGTTCTCATAGAAATTCTGTTTTATTACAAAGGTAGCGTGTTTGGGTGAGTCTGGGTCTATCATAGCAAGCAGAGGTGTGCAAGAAGCGGAGGAAGTAAACGAAGCGACCAATCTGATTGCCTAGCGCTCTGAAAGTCATGGGTTCGCATCAAAGACGTGTCGTTCAATTCAGGAGTGCATGTTAATAAGGAAATACTTGGCGGTGCTCGCTGGAGTTTCAGAGCTCGTGCTTTATGTGACGCTCTCTTCAGTTCTGCCAAAGGAGACTGAGTCATATTGAATACCTCGGTGCGGTGAAGTAGATCATCTCGAATTTAACTGTGAATCACACAGAGGACTGCAAACTGATTCAATCAAGGATGGGATCTTGGTGAATGTTTTCCCCTCCGTACTGAAGGTTGGACATAGCAGCGACTTGAGGTATCACATCCAGAGCCACAAACTACCAGAGCTTATCCTACATACCCGTTCAATTTGTAAACAATTTATAACTAGAGTTCCCATAGCAAGCACTGCTATGTTGTACCATGTAGCTTAGTGTGGGCTGCAATCTTTAACAAGTGTCTGAAAGAACGTACCGAAGATGGCGGCAAAATTAATCAATTTATGGACGCACACACAAAGGGAAGATTAGCACAGCAACAAGCTAATTAAGGTGTACTAACACAAAAAGAACTTATTTTTAGAGAAAAGATTTATAAAATAAGAAATTATATTAGCAGCAAGATTTAAACATTAGGAAATTATCTTACAGGCACTAACTAGACAAAAAGTAATTTATATAGAGACAATATTGATACAGTAAGAAATTAATCCAGGGCACGAATCATACGATGAGAAATGATTTAATTGCAAGAATTATGCAATAAATTATTTAAAGACAAGACTTATACAATAAGAACTTAACAGGGCAAGATTTATACGTAAAATTTTTTGGGGGGGGTCCAGACTTTTCAATGAGAAATTAAATTACGGACACGGTGTACACAACAGGATGACTAACCTGTCAAGGAGAAACTTGAAGTCCAGCATCCCACACAGGAACTTGGCTGCGAATCTGCGGGTAATAACATGCAATTGTGAATCCGGATTATCTGGTCTCTCTCTCCCTATCCCTCCCTCCCTCTCTGTCTCTCTCTTCCTCTCTCTCCTTTCTCCAATATCGCTTTCTTACACCTATGCTATTTCTCTTTTCTCTCTGCCTTTCTCTTCCACAGTATCTCGCGATCTCTTTCTTTCTCTCTTCCTCCCATTCTCTGTCGTCCACTCGATCTCTGCTCTCTCCACATCTTTAATTTGTATCTCTCTCATTCTCTCCTTCCCTCTCCCCTTATCTACTACTCTCCTACTTTTACTCTCACTCCCTCTATCTCTTCCACACTCCATCATCTCTCGCTTCTTCTGTCCTACTCTCACTCTGATTTTCCTCCCTCTCTCCCACAGACACGCTCTCCTCCTTTGTTCTCTCCCTCTTTCTCTCAAAATCTGGCTGTCGCTCTTATGTTCTATCCCACTGACACACTCTCCATCCCTACTTTCCCTCTTTTCGACCCTCTCACTCTCTTCACCCTCACTTTTCCTGTGTGTGTGTGTGTGTGTGTGCTTGTGAAACATTCCGGCTGCAGTTGCTACCGCTTCAAATCTCTGTCTTTTGGATGGAAACATCAACGACAAGCGAACAAGAGGCAGACAGACACACAGCAAACACAGGACGCTTCTGGTCACTGACCTGATCTGATGGCGCCTGGACGGAAAGTTCTGGCACGGGAACACTGCAGCTGGGTTGGAGTTGATGACCAGAGGAAGTCGGACATTCAGGTACATGTCATGGAGCCACCAGTCGTTGGCCTGTGGATGGGCATGGAAGCATCAACGTGAGCTTGGGTGGGTTAGGAAATAACCTGTTTATGGATGGATGTATCTCTGGGAACTTGGGTGATACAGTAAGATACTTGACGATGGAAAGAAGTATACATGCAAGCATGAGTGATAACAGATTAGGGTAAGAGGTATAAATGTGAGCTTCAGTGAGAACGTCGGGGTACTTGACTTGCTGAGCTCATAAGGCTCAAAAATTTAGAAATCCAACGATACTTTGTTGTAGGTATTCTCAATATCAAGTGCTGCAGCATATGTTTCAATCTCCGGCAGGAAACCACCATACACGTCACGGAAAAAAACTGCAGCCTTTGTTCAGGTGTCTCTGTCTGGACGATACCCTACAAGAGTAGGTGAAATAAGACATTGCCTCTCAAGCTGGCACGATATTTTTCTGGCAATTTTCTTCTCCAACAGCTTGCCTACATCATTTTGTATTGTCATCACCCGATATGCCTAAATTATTGTGTGGTCATTGCCAGGCTTCGACAGGGGTTGTGAGGCAGCTGTCTAACCGCGCCTCATTGATAGTACCACTCGCTGTACTGTTGTAAACATTTATTGAGTTCCTCCAACTCATCTTCAGTACACTTACTAATGTCATCATACCTCACAAAATCTGGACGAAGTGAAAGTTTATTGTTTTTTGTTTGTTTGTTCGCCTAGCCCAGACTTGATTTCATCCACTGTCATTATGTTTTCTGCTATTTTCTTAGACTCAACACCTGTCTGAGGTAACTTAACGGCAAAGACGCACCATGCCATGTCTGTGTCTGCTCTGCACTAATGAACCAAACTTGACTGTCATGAATTAATCACATGCCCAACCAGAGATGCTCCAATATTGTGTCGCATTATGTGAATTAGGCGTTAGCGCAGTCGATAGGAGACTCGCTTTCAAATCCAGCTGCGACTCGCTGCAGCCACGGCTGGTGTTCGAAACCGGGCGGTTCCCGGGGTTCACCCAGCCTCTAGGAAATGGGTACCAGAGTTGACACTCTGGGGTGTTACGTGCGGACGGCGACACCGGCGGACAATTTCTTATCAGCTGTCCGTACTGGTGGCAGATCACTTATGGTTTATAACCGTGTGCAGTGACACTAGTTCACATCTCCCGACTTTACCTTTACCTTTATGTGAAGTAGTACGATGTTGCAGAAAACACCACGAATTTATTCCTCGCTATATTTGCCAGATGCGCCGTCAGCATGAATGCCCCGTGATGTTTTACACGAAAGGTAAGCTTCTAGTTGTAGAATTCTTATTGTATAATTATGTGCCTGAGATAATCACTCACTGAATAATTCTGCACTGAATTAATTTCTTATTGTATGCAAATAGCTACCAAATTAACGGCGTCTTTCATAAAGCAGGTCACTCCAGAACTTCGCTGGTCAACATCCAACATTTATTGGCTGTTGGATGAATGTAATGGAACATTTTACCTTGAGTAGTTTGCCACTGCTGGCTCATACAGTTCTCAAAATCAACGCAAAGCGGCCTGCTATCAAACTGTCAGCAACTGATTTCGTTTTTCGGAATCCTAATTGGAAACACAGAACTATCAGAAGCAAACAGGGACATACCCAGTTGTCCATGGACTGTTGCCTCTTGTAGAGATGCTCCTGTAGAGTCTGGCCAATCCCGTGCTGACTGAGGAACTCTGCCACCAGTGATTTGGTGCGGGCGTACTCTTGTGGGGAGACAACCGTCTTGATGAGTGTCAGATACTTGTCCATGGTCTCTTGGAGCTCCGGGACTGGCAGCTTGGGCAGGGACAGCTGTGGGGCAAATACGTGGAGCTTGTGAGGCATTTTCCAGATGTGCAATAGGAAATAAATTGCTTCTGATTTCTTGATGAAAACATTTTATGAGTAATTAGTCAGAGACGGTGGAGAATCTACAGCCCGTGTGCAATTGACCGAGTTGTTCAACTTTAATCAGTGGCCCCATTTTGAAAATGAGGATCGCTCCGGGCAGGGAGCTCGAGTCCTCGCATTGAAAGGTCAATCATTCAATACAACTGGCAATGATCTGCGGGCCACGGTAGGCTTCAGCGAGCCGGATCTAGCCCGCGGGCCGCCAGTTGAATAGCCCTGACCCACGTGGTTTTATTGACGAACGAGGAATAAAACATCATAAACAGACAGACAGACAGACAGACAGACAGACAGACAGACAGACAGACAGACAGACAGACAGACAGACAGACAGACAGACAGACAGACAGACAGACAGACAGACAGACAGACAGACAGATAGACAGACAGACAGACAGACAGACAGACAGACAGCCAGACAGACAGACAGACAGACAGCCAGACAGCCAGACAGATAGACAGATAGACAGATCGACAGATAGACAGATAGATAGATAGATAGATAGATAGATAGATAGATAGATAGATAGATAGATAGATAGATAGATAGATAGATAGATAGATAGATAGATAGATAGATAGATAGATAGATAGATAGATAGATAGATAGATAGATAGATAGATAGATAGAGAGAGAGAGAGAGAGAGAGAGAGAGAGAGAGAGAGAGAGAGAGAGAGAGAGAGAGAGAGAGAGAGAGAGAGTAGTGACTACGTCTTGAGAGAAACTGACTCAGGGAGAGAAATTGTCGTTCACATCAGAAGAGGACAATCTACATTCTTTGTTGATGTCATGAGAAGGAGAACATTTGAATAAATCCCGGCAGTAAGAAAGCTGATGGGGGAGACAGGCAGAGGGAGACGGAAAGAGAAGTTGCTGGACGGTTTGACATCATGGCATGGAAGATAATCTGTGTTAGAACTGATTGAAAGTATACGAGACAGAAGGTTGCTAACATACATGACTACCAACGCCACACGGTGATGATTATAAATAGGAGAAGACTAAGATGCGTCTACGGATATTAGTGAGCTCAAAACATTGATTTAATGAACGTATTAGCAATGATGAAAGTCTTTGGTTAAACACCAGCAAGTAGATCAAAATAAGAATTTTGACAGCATGCATGTTCCCTGTATCAACATTCGGATGTGAATCGTGGACTATCTCCCAGTCCCTGAGAAAGAGAATAGGGGCTTTTGAGTTGAAATGCTAAAGAAAAATTCTCAGAATATCTTGGACAAAGTAGAGGAGAAATACTGACATCTTGAATGACCTGAAAATCAAGGAATATTGGTTAATAAACAGCATCCTGTCTCGGAAGCCGAAATATTTGAGTCATATCAAGCGCCATGACGGATTGGAACAAATTATAGCAGAAGGCATGGTACCAGGAAGGAGCTGTAGGGGCCAACCGACACGAATTTGGGCACAGGATATAAGTGACTCCTTGAGTATGAAAGTACATAAGGCGGGAGAGCTGGCGAGAGACCGAGTTTCTTTCATGCAGATCGTGATGAAAGCGACGTTCTGCAAAGGACCTGCTACATGATGATGATGAGCAAAGTTGAAGGCAGTTTAACCTCTTGTGTCACCTCCAGGAAATGATAGACATTGTGGTGTTAGAAAGGGGAAGAATGGGCCTAAGTTTGAATAATGGGAAGACAGAAGTAATGGTGGTATCAAAGAAACAAATTATTCCTAAATGTGTAATAAAAGTCAATGGTGTTATTTTAAGACAAGTACAGAAATTTAAGTATCTGGGCACATGGATAACATCAGATGGAAGATGCATAACTGAAATAAGAAACAGAATTGGACAGGCAAAAACTGCATTTTAAAAAATGAAAAACATCTTGTGCAATATATCCTTGTCATTGAGAGTTAGAAAAAGAATTCTTGCTTGCTACATACATCCAGTTTTAACATATGGATGTGAATCCTGGACAATCGGTAAGCGGGCCAAACAATTTTTGGAGGCCTCAGAGATGTGGTTTTACAGAAGAATGCTTAGAATACCTTGGACAGCCAAAAAGAGCAACCAAGAGGTTTTAAAAGAGGCGGGAGCCCGAAGACAACTTATCACTGACATCAGAAGGAGACAGTCATCATTTTTCGGCCATGTTATGAGAAGAGGGAAAATAGAACATGTTGTGACCACTGGAAAGATCTGTGGAAGGAGGGATAGAGGAAGACAACGAGAGAAGATGCTTGACAGTCTTATTGCATGGCATGGAGGTGTGTCGGCACCGGAACTGATACATGCTGCAGGAGATCGAGGATTATGGAGAGGCATGATCGCCCACGACAGTCGGCAAGGCACCTGATGATGATGATGATGTCACCAGCAAAGGCGTCACACAAATAATTTCTGTATACACCAGACAAATCATGAATTGTCATACATGTTACATTTGGTCTCTGCATGAAAGAGAAGCCTGACTATTTACTGTAACACTTTTCATCTTCTTCTTCGCGTTCACCAGCTGGAAACTGGTGGAAAGTTCTGGTTGTTCATCCACTTCTGGACTGCAGTCCTGCTCCAGAACCTGAGTGTTGCGTACGTATCCGTTTTACAGATCTGACTCATTTCTATGCAGACTGCTGGATCTTTGCCGCTCAGACAGATGCACTCCGACTTCGAAGGAAGCTACCAATGAGTCGGCTCTTACGACACGCTTTTATGTAGGCAGTGGGTCCATTCCTGTTTTCCATACATTAGGGCCCCGATAATCACACAGGGATATGTTAGTTTTAAAAACAGTAACTTTTTCAATTTCAATTTCTCAATATAAACGTTTTATGTGGATTTTGGTACATAGCTGTTTAGAAACAATATCGTGTTAATACTAGGGCTGTACCGAATAGTGATTTTCACTATTCGGCCGAATACGAATAGTGGGACCAACTATTCGGCCGAATACGAATACGAATATTGTATCATCATCATCAGGTGCCTTGTCGGGCGATTATTCCTCGCCACAATCTGTGATCTCCTGCAGCATGTATCAGTTCGTGTGCTGACACACCTCCATGCCATGCAACAAAACTGTCAAGAATCTTCTCTCGTTGTCTTTCTCTATCCCTCCTTCCACAGATCTTTCCAGTGGTCACCACATGTTCCATTTTTCCTCTGCTCATAACATGGCCGCAAAATGATGACTGTCTCCTTCTGATGTCTGTGATTAGTTGTTTTTGGGCTCCCGCCTCTTTCAAAACCTCTTGGTTGCTTTTTTGTTGCTGTTGTTGTTGTTGCTGTTCAAGGTATTTTAAGCATTGGTCTGTAAAACCACATCTCTGAGGCCTCTAGAAATTGTTTGGCCTGCCTACCGATTGTCCATGACTCACAACCATATGTTAAAACTGGATGTATGTAGCAAGCAAGAATTATTTTTCTAACCTTCAATGACAAAAGATATTTTGCATAAGATGTTCTTCATTTGATAAAATGCAGTTATTGCCTGTCGTCTGTCTTCTTTTCGACAGTGGCGAGGAAAGACAATTTAAATTTTACCTTTTAAGTATCTTCATGCCTTCTTTAATAATGTCACAATTTATAGCCTACTTTTCTTGATTTTCGCAGCGGCACCCCTGGTATACGCACACAGTTTGAGAACCTCTGCTGTAATGCCTCGGTCGAGTCAGCAGGCAAAGACCTTGCCAGCTGCTGTACCACGCAACCGACTTAGGCAACAGCAACTTTTATGCTAATGAGAAAGTTATTTCAGTCCATCGCAGTGTATGCAGACACGAGTGTAAGGTAACCACCATTCGTATTCGGCTGACCGCAACTATTCGGCCGAATACCGAACAGTTATTTGGTCCACTATTCGACCCCGAAGCGAATACGAAGCGAATATTCGGTACAGCCCTAGTTAATACTGACTGTGCGTGCTGTGGAATAAGCCGCCCCCCTCCTCCCCCCCCCCAATATATATATATATATATATATATATATATATATATATATATATATATATATATATATATATAATGGACCCATTTCACCCTATTATCACATGGGCCATATGGTGCTTGATCCATATTTTTAAAGAACCAGTCGATTCTGGACGGGTGATGTGTTTAGCCCAGCCTAAAATGAGTATCGGGAAATGTCCTAGGAGGTAAAAAGGCGACAAGTGTGATGTGGATTATATCACCCGCCGTGTTTAGTTCCGTCTAAAAATTCTAGGCCTTATAGAATAAATGGTCAATGAATTACTTGCGTAGAAAGTGGTGTTTCCTCTAAACATGGGTTTCTTTATTTGCTTAGAGCTTTAATGGCAAATTATAGAACGTTAAATGGCATAGTAAAAGCAAACAAGTTTACGGGACGGAAAGTTTTAAGTTCAAAACCACACTGAGATATGTTTTCGTAAGTGACCTAACCCACCGTGTCGGTCCGGATTAAACATATATATAGGAAATGTCTTAGGCAGTAAAGGAGGCATGCACGATGTCGTCCATATTATTCATGACTGGCCTATAAAAAAACAATCTAGCACTATATACCAGACGTATTCAAAGAGCAATATTTATAAGCTTTTATTCAGTTAGGCTTTGTTTGTGTGTTCGTTGTTGGTTTGTCTGATACAATAATATTTTCATTTGTATACAATTTCCTTATAATTTGCTAGGATGACATTTAAAAAAACCTGTTATCAATGTAAAGTAATTGTTATTTTGAAAAATGTTACAGTTAAGCTGTCCCCCCCCCCCACCCCCCCCCCCGTAACAAGCAATTTTTATTGTTTTAGGAAATGTGCATAAATGCTTGAGTCTGCACCTATAGATCACACATGTAGATTTTCAGCACAGAGCTCGAACTCAGTATCTACAGTAAGTTTCCACATGCGAGAATTCCAGAATTAAGAACAATTTCGTTGTTGGATATTGGTGTGAGAGTAGTGCCATGGAAAACACTGGGACCTTATCCCGTAAAGGTCCCGGGGACAACAGTGGATG